ATGGTGAGGGGCGTAACATTTCCGTCACACGCTTGAGGTATTCAGCCAATCACAACATACTGGATAGCTGGCCAATCACAGCACACCTCGCTTTTCAGACCGATGAGCTTTGTAAAAAAAAAAAAAGCTCATAGAGGAGAAACAATAATGTACAGTATGTGGAAAAGAATGTGTTTTTTTAACCTTAAACCGCACAAACACATTTTATTACACCAAATACATAAAATAAGGTTCTTTTAGCAACATCATATGACCCCTTTAAAGTATAATATTTGTGATGATAAGCTAAACATGTTGCACGAGTCAGTTTTGATGCAGCTGGCTGATTTTTGTTCATGGTGTTCAGCAGCAACTAAATGTTTTGCAAAAAGAGACACAGAATAAATATGTTTGATATCTAAATGTCTGACGCCATGTTTTTAATCACAATGGAATCGAAAAGAATCTGAATCGATAAGCAGAATCAGAACCGGAATTGATCAAATTCAAACAATACTCCACCCTAAGTTTCGTACAGTACATGTTTCCCTGCTTCCTTCCCTTCTGAGTGCATTACTGCAAAACTGCTTTAGCAATATTTGGTAATGAATGTGAATATATCTGTCGTGCCAATAAAGCAGCGTACAGCTGAATCAGAGCGGGTCAGAGATCATCAGGATCGTGTGAGTCACAGAGCCTTCATCCGCTCGCTCTGATCCGTGTTTTAAGCGTGTTGTAGGGATTGAGAAGCGTGTGGGGGTGCAGTCAGATCACAGTTATTGTAGTGCACTACATGAAATATGGGACACAACATACACACGAATCAGGACAGAAGTGGGGGAGGAGAGCGAATATAGTCTTCTTCTGAGTCGTCTTCTTATAAGATCACATGACACATTCCTTCCAGTGCAGACTAGTTCATTAGTAACATTCACTAGTTTGTTTATCTAGTCTCTGACTGTATCTTACTGCGCAAAAGCTTTTGACTGGTTGTGTAGTTTTAAGAAAAATTAAGATGCAATCTATAAAAGGCATTTTAAATATTTAAAGATAACTCGAAAGGAATGAGCTGAAATAAGAGACTTCTTTGCTTTGCTGTAATAGTTGTCAACATGTCAAACCCCTTTGAGAAGAGCTGAACTCCTCTGAAACACCAGCATCAACACAAACTCTACCCTCCAACAAAGACAATTCAGATTAACTCCATATATTCAGCAGCCCATGAGGCTATAAATCTGCGAAGTTCTGTTCGATAGCGCTTAAAGTGAAGCAGACAGATCTTTTCTTCTGTATTCTAACGTGCATCTGAGCGTAACGGACTGAAAGAAACAGATGTAGGCGGGGCTTGGTTCTGTGCATCACTTGTTGATTGGATGTGGAGATGTGGGCGTGGCACTCAGAAGCGTATGCAGATGAGCGTGAGTTCTTAAACCAAGATACATTTACTTGAGACGCAAAATAAAGATAAGAAGTCTTGTTTTGTGAGAAATTGATTAAAAATGATTAAAACGAGAACAAATATCTGTGGATTGAATCAGAAAAATCAACATAATTCAAAGGGAAACAACAACATTTGACAGACATTTGTTCTTGTTTTAATCATAAACTCGCTTCATTTTTAACAATTTCTCAGGCTATACATGTTTATCTTTCTTCAGAAAAAACAAATAAAAAGTTTGAGCCAGGGATGCTTGGTTGATTTGACATGGAATGACCCTACTGTTATTAATTGATATTATTAATATGTAAAAAATGTATTATGTAGAAAATATTTTTATTATATATATATATTATTATTATATAGTACTGTAAATTTTTGCCTATTTAAATTTTGATGTATTATTTACATGTATTTAAGTCTATTTTTATTATTACTTTATTTTTAAACTATGTTATTTCATTAGTTTGATAACATTTATTCATTTACCTAATGTAATCTTATTTAATTTTACAGTTTAATTTCTAAACTAAGCCATGGTTTACCCCGCAACTAAAAATCAGTCCTGCCACTCAAGACCTCACACACACACACACACACACACACACACACACACACACACACACACACACACACACACACAGACCCAAAAAACACACACACACACACACTAACAGACCTGACAGACACACACACACACACACTAACAGACC